ACATGGCCTGGCCTGTAACTGCTCAATAAATGACAACCGTGATCGTTACAGTGAGGAGGAGGAGGAGGGGTTCTTCTCCCTAGGTATGCAGTGCTTTGCTGTGCTGGCTCTGACTGGCTGTGACTCTCTGCTCCCAAGACCAAGGGAGCTTTTGAGGGCACGAACCTATGATTTGTTCATGTGGGGACTGCTGTAATGTGCCCCTACTAACTCCCCAGGATGGGAAACGAAGCAGGCAGAGGTGGAGGCTGCCTGCTTGAACCCACTTGTCCCTAAAGGATCCCAAAATGCCACCTCTCCATTCCATCAAACATTGTTCCCTGCAGGGTCACCTTAAAAGGTGAATACCACTGGGATAATGCATATCTTAGTAGCTCCCGGAGGTAGTTCTCTGTTCCAGGCCCTGAGAGCACTGCAAGAGGAGGACGGGTGCAGCTGTTGGCCCCCTCTTTTTCTCGAAGGTAGCACAGGCAGTGAAGGGGATTCCCCAGGCGTTTCAAGCTGTCCCTGGGGGATGAGAAGCCCTCTGTCCCTTCCTCAAAGCTGAGGCCAAAGAAGTAATAACCAACACTAAAGGTAGAGAAGCCTATTCAAACTCATGTTTATTTTCTAAGGGGTCCAGGCAAAGGCTCAGGGAGGGGGACACATAACTTGGGTTTTAGGAGGAGCCCCAGGCCTTGGGGAGGAGAACGAACCCCTCCTGCTCTGCCGTCAGTACTATTGCTAATAGGGGTGATTCAGGACGTGTTCCATGATGGTCCGAATCGCCATCCACGTCTCCTGGGCCGTGGGGATGATCTGCGTGGCTGGCAGTAGGAAGCCATAGCGGCCGGTGTCCCGGAGCTCAAAGCTGAAGGCATACTTGATACCATTGTCGTAGGCCCAGTCAACGGTGATCCCACTGGCCACATCTAGAAACAACAGGGCCAAAAAGTGCTCCCAAAGGAAGAGGGTGAGGCCACAAGGTATAGAGGCATCCTGAATGGAAAGTAGGCTCTAGAAGCCAAACCTCTGCACACCCCAGACCACACCAAGCTTCCTAGCCCAGGCCTCCACCTGGGCCACCCACTGCCCACCCAGCTCCTTCTCTGCCCCTACAAAAAGAAAGCTGCTGGAGGCCACCCGACGTAGGATCTTCACCCTCAAGGAATTTTGCAGTAAGCCAGGCATTGGGAGCTGTGCGTTAATGCTGCAAAGAAACAGCTGCCTTGGTCCACCCTTCCGCCCAGATGTGGGAAGTAGCTCTGGCCCAGCCCTGCCAGACCCGTGGATGGCCAGGCCTGCCAGCTCAGAGCCTGCACCTGCCCGCCCCCAGGTGAAAGTGATGTCTGAAGCAGTGGCCAGGGGAAGCTCACTCACAGAGGGTGGTGCTGATGCTGCCAAAAATGTACTTGATCCCGTGGACCTCATACAGGGCCTTCACTGCATCCTTGGCAAGACTGTACTGCAAGGTCACATCCACAGGGTGAGAGGCCAGAGCTCGTGGTGGCTCCCACCCGCAACCCCACACCCTCAGCAGCTGGCAAGAAGCATAGACTTGGGTGGGGGTCCCGGAAGCTGCATGTGCAGTTGGCTCCTGTGAGAAGGGAGCGCAGCACCTCTGGCTTTGAACTTGATCACACATGAGAACAAGCTCCCCCTCTTCTCTACCATGGAGTCTATTGGTCCAGACCCTTGTTTTCAGAATGAGAGCCTGAACCCTCTGGGGGTGTGCTGGATATGGATTTTCCTTTGGAGGGTCCTCCTCCTCCCCAAGCCCTAAGCAGCCAATCTCACCAGCTCTATCTGGTTTAGAACAGGCTCCAGCGAGCGCCCGTAAGGGTACATGAGCATCTGAGAGTAGCTGTGGATGGAGATCAGAGCCTTGAAGTTCCCATGGGTTGAGATGAAGTCCACAATGGCGGCCACTTCTGGCTCCGACTGAGGGGAGGGCCCACGGTAAGTCTCTGAGCAGGGATTGTCGTTAGAGCCATTTCCTGGAAGTAAAATAACACCACCCAGAGCATTGGAGTCCCCCGACGTGGCAGAGACACTTAATGCTCACCAAATACCCACGTATTCCCCTACATTTCCCAGCTCCTCCTCTACCACCTCCTTCTCCAAACAGCTGCACACAAGGCTGCTCCAGAGGACAGGGATCACCCCAACTCCTGAAGCCTCCTCAGGGCCTCAGCACCCCCCAAGCCCTGCTGGGTCCCGGTGCAACGAGCTAGTCCATGGACCCGTTCAGATGATGCTCTAATAATGCAGTAAACCTAAGCGCTCAGGTGAGGGTGGGCACGGGTGGGAGGAATGGTGTACAGATTACTCATCGCACAGCAATTAAATTAAGACAATAATAAAACCATAAACAAAATCTTCCTGCCTGAGTCACCAACCCAGACATACACTATTGCTGGCCAGGGGCAATTCTGTCACTGGGAAGTGCATCCCCTCTTGGTTTGTGGATCCTCGCCTGGGATGGGGACCCTAGTTAGGAGGGAT